TTTCTTTGTACCAAAACTTTTCCTTGTACCAGTCGAAATTACATTTTCATTTGACATTATTTGTTACACATTAAGATTTCATAAAATAATCCATGACCATTTTCATTTTATTTACTTCTTATGAAACTAGAAGATGAAGGCGATGTGCATTGCTTCAGCAATGTAAATTTAGTTCTTTTTTGGTAAGATAAGAACAGAACATGGTTTTGTAAAAGATTTGGGGTGAAGTCAAACAGGTATGGCTTATTAAATGAATATCTTCTGCATTCAGGGTGAGGTATAAATTAATGTATCTAACTCTCTCATGCTAGTTTCATTGTTACTACTTGGAAAGAAAAAAATACTAGATCTATTTGTAAGCAGACTGGAAAACTAAAAACTTACAAAGAGTATAGATTTAAAAGAAAATTGCTATCTGTGGTCACCCTGAGTGAAGGGTTAGCAAGCACATTTAAAGAGTAACTGAGATTGACCTAGATGTTATTAATTATAAAGAACAAGCAAATGACGGAGAAACGAATGAATATGAAGGTAAACATGTGTACAATCCAGAGTAGCTAATTTAAATCATTTTACAGTGCATTGATAATCGCATTTTTCTAATTTTTTAATTTGTGATTCTGCTTCAAGCATTACATAGTGGGGAAGGCATGGATGTTTATAGTTGTTTCTTGCAAGTGTAATATCGTGTGTCTTGCGCAATGGTCATGGTGAAGAGATAGCTAAATGACTTGATTGATTTGGCCATTCCTGATCAATACTTATGAGCTGTTCGATATAAAGTATGTATTTGGCCACTAGATATAAAAAGTATTATCTGGAGCATATTGTATATTAGATTCAATAGAGAACATGCCACTTATTTAACGCTAGAATGCTACCCATTTGTCTCCTGGATGAACCCCATAACAAATAACCTTGCCCGTCCTTCCCTAAAACAGAAATTGGGACATGCGACTCAGTAACTTTATATGATCTTGGCTGCTATAGATTATAATAAATTAAAAGGCAATTTAAACTCCTTCTTACTGGAATACTCCTTCTTACCGAATAAATTAAAAGCAATTTAAACTCCTTCTTACTGGAATATTTTCACATATAGCATTTTTAAAACAATACAGTCAAATACAGAAAATCCGCCGACCTGAAATCCGCGTTGCCTCTCTGAATATAAACATTCAGTTTATAGGTTCCGGAAACCGCAACATCGAGTACGAAATATCGAAGAAAAAAATACTTACAGAATAATGGCGTCATAATTACCGAATAATAATGAGTCAAAATGAAAATACCAAATTATTGATATAAAAAAGTTTAAAAAATAAAATAAAATAAATAAGTTTTTTTCCCTCTAATATGCATCAAGGTAAAAAAGCAGACGATTCACTCAACTCTTTTTTTCAAGTTCACAATTCGCATTGTATTTTCTGAGCTTTGTTCTTCATTCACGAGATTGTTTAGTGCTGCCTTTTTTTTATCGTGACATTTTGTGGATAATTAAGAATATTTTTTAATTTCAGCCCTTTTTAATACAATGACAGATAAGAAATGCACTCATGATTTTACTGCTTGCAACTTTGAAAAACGTAAACACATTGCATTGACGGTAACGCAAAAAGTGCAGATTCTGCAGAAGATGAAAGCAAGTGCTACTCCTCGATTTATAGTAGAATGGTATGGAATTGTGACACAATTGTGTATGATATATGGAAAAATTAAGAAAAGCTGTTGAAATTTTATAGCAACAGTGATTCTAACACCGGAATCCGAAACCAGAAATCTTTGCATGAGGCGAAATTGGCAGACCTTGATGCTGTGTACTTATAATAAAATGAATGTTGTAGGATTTTAAATTCATTTAATGCGAAAACAAATTACTACTACTTGCACAATTGCTGCAAAGTAAGTTAATAATAATTTATTTACTAAAAAATATTAATTAATTGATTATATTATCTCCTAAGTTTAAATACAGTAGGATTATCTTAAAAGAATGAATCCATACTAGTAAGTTATTTTGAAGTAACTTGAAAGTAAAATGTTAAAAATGTTTTATCGAGGACTGGAATTAAATAACAAAATTTCAATTGTAAAAGGAATAAATTAAAGGCAATTAATTAAATGCATGTAATCATTGTCATTGATCGGAAATTAGTTGACTTTTCAAGGGGAACAAACCAACTCCCGTTCAATGAACAATAATTAATAAATAAATATGAAGGTGTTTTGTCTTTACTCGAGCAATAAGGCTAAGCCAAACCGCCAATTCAAGTCAGGCCAAATATTTCCGTGAATAGAAGGGATTATGAGCCAATGCTGATATTCAAAAAACTTATTCCTATTAAGCATTTTAGCCAATTCAATTTTGAGTGAAAAGCAATTTCTGCAGTAAATTTCTATAAAGCTCGAGTAACTGTCCCCCGACACCCCTGTGTTTATGCATTTGAGTTCAATATTATTTGTAAAAATTAAACATTGGAAATTGTCATTATGAAATAGAATTTAAAGTAGTTGATATAAACATTAGAAAATTACAAAATATAAGATAAATAATGCAAACTTTGCAAAAACAAATCAAAAGTAATATAAAAATAAGAAATATAATAAGAAAAGTTTCCGATCAATTAAAATGATTAATTGCCTTTAATTTATTCCTTTTACAATTGAAATTTTGTTATTTAATTCCAGTCCCTGTTAAAACATTTTTAACATTTTTTTTCAAGTTACTTCAAAATAACTTACTAGTATGGATTCACTCTTTTAAGATAATACTACTATAATTAAACTTAGAAGATAATATAATCAATTAATCAATATTTTTAGTAAATAAATTATAATACAATGAGTAATATAATCAATTTATATATGTAATAATAATTTAAATGCATATAATAAATTAATGCAATAATGAATATAATAATTTAATTAAATGTATCTAATACGCCTTATTCGTTTTGCACTTTTAGTTCAAATATTATGCTTTATCTTTTCTGTCCTGAAATCCGCAAAATCCTAAAATCCGCACAACTTCTGGTCCCAAGCTTTGCGGATTTCTGGAATTGTACTGTATTCATTTGACAGATGAATGGTTAGCTGTAATGTTTCATTTCATAATCGACTTAGGAATATTAACTTGACAATAAAAATGAAGAAAAAAACAATGTGATGAAAATTTTCATTTGAAATATGGAGCTAAAAAAGAAAATGCTAAACAAATTGAAAAATTAAATTTGACATATGTAGCTTAAAAATTTAAAAAATTCCAAAATTTTTTTGACTCATGAAAAATCTTATTTTACCCCCGTAAAATTCAGCTCAGTGTTAAAGATAAGTGGTCATCTGTTCCTAAATCAAGCAACACAAGTACATCACCTCGCAATATGATCCATTTATTAAAGAACCAAAGGACTGAGCCATAAAAGGGACTACAGACACATTTGATCAGATATGCAACCAGATGTCATGTAGTAGAAGACTCGGCGAAGTCCTCTTTTCTGCATTTCTCAGCATGATAAATATCAGTTTCATGAAAGCATGTGTTATGTGCATAATATAAAACCTGAAAAAGTATCATCAAGGGAAAAGTTCGCAATAAAGCTAAGTGAAGATGTTCTTGCTCCATGGATGAAGAGTAGCATACCAACTTTGCCTCGATCAACAAGAACAATTATTAAGGAACTGTTGAAACCTCCTGAACAATCTGACAGTAAAAAAAAAGAAAACATTGTGCTTTTTCCTGTACATTTTGCACACAATGACTCCCAACTTTTCTCAAACGTGTTCCAGAGTAATGTGCAGAGAAAACAACATGCTAGTATGTGTAAAGACTGCTTTAAGAATAAATAAATGATACTTACTTACTACCTTGAAGTTTCAAAGTCCTGAAATCATCTGCAGATAGTATACTTTTATTTTAATTAACTTTTAAAAATACGTTTTAAACACGCTTAAGCATAATTCGTCTCGTAGACGAATGGTTGCTATTCACATAAGTTTTTCAAAGTGTAGCAGTCTAGGGTTAAATTAAAAGTTTTCATCTGGCAGAAATGTACAAATAGTATTGTGTGCGTATGTGTTCATAATAGATTGAATGCTTACAGGTCCAATGTTAGGCTAATAAAATTTATTTAATCAAAGGAAACATGTCAAAATTGTGGAATTTTTCACAGAAATTCTCATACAAGTGTTCACTGTATCACAGATTACAATCAGTATTTACACTTTAAACTACTAACAACATTAAACACAATGCCAAGCACATCTAAAGGGAATGCTAACTCGAATATGTTTCAATTCATGGGAAACTAACGACCCGTACAACAATAACTGAGCAAGTCTGAGCAGATGCTCTATCTTTGGCCTGAAATGATTTTCAAACTGGCCGCCGAGATATTTCTAGTACTTTCTGCTTCTCGAAATTACTGAAAAGCAATCATGAGGGTACAATCACTGTTGCGGCTTAGCCATTTACTCAATGTTAAATGCATTTGCCCTTGTATTCTTACTCTTCCAGCATAGCTTTCTCTTAAAATTTGTTTCACGTTACATTACACAGAAAAATACAACGATTTCACATATAACCACATTAAAATCATCTATTTATGTATAAAATTCATAACAATACCATTTTTAATTCATCAGATACAGTATTTTGTGTCATAAAATTGTGAAATGTTTAGCCGCTCAAGAAAATTTTAATGGAAAGCTATGAACGCCTACACTATTTATTATTTAATTTTACCAATTATGTAATGAATGTAATATTAAAGCAAACCTCTTATAAAGTCCCACATAATGGGATCTCTTTCTTTGCTGATAATACATACCTAGTCATGCTTTAATGAAATCAGTCAATTGGTTACATTAAAGGCACATAATAGGATTTGTTTTTAAAACCTTTGTTTTAAGGTTTTATTATTTGTAATAAATATATGATTAAAATTCTTTTGAAAATATATTTTTTTCAAATAATTGATGTTATTTAATGAAATTTAATTTAGATGGGTGATTCTTTAACATCTTCAAGCTATTCTGTGGGCCATCTTAATGCTAGAATAACATCCATTATTCATACTAGAACCATAATATTTTGTGGATCTTCAGGTGGTGACATTGGTGTATTTTCATTGCCTAAAACCATGTACGTATCATGCAAAAATTGCATTTTAAAGAATTTCTATTATGTATGTTTTACTTACATAAAAAATTATACATTTTTCAATATTAATCTGTTTCTGAAATTAGTGTGCTTATTTTGTAGATATTCTCAAGTGGTAACTGGAGCTCATGAAGGGTCAGTGACTGCTTTAAGCATTTTTGAAGCACATAATGAGCTGTGGGCTGTATCTGCTGGAATTGATAAAGTAACTTATTCCAAAGTTTTAGACTGTACAATATTTTATGCTTAATCTAAGAAATATGAAACGATTATTTTACTTAATTTCCAGAGATTGAAGTTTTGGACCCTGTTTGAAGAATTTCAGGAAGAACCTCATGTAGTTCTGCAGAAAGAATGCCCATCCAAGCACAAAGATAACATAACCTGTTTGTGTTACCTGCCTTCTCTGGAGGTAAGGGGTGCTGATGTTGTTTCTCAAAAAGATGCTTAATTTGGCAAAATATTTTTGAGTAAATTACCTCATTATGATAAACCCTTGCCAAATATGGGTTTTACGTCATTAATGCACTGCGCATATTCAAAACTGAATTCCGCAAAGTTAACTTTATTAAAAAAAGGTTAGGTATGGTTCAAATTAAGAAAGGATGTATAAGTTATGCAAACCTAAAAGGGGTTTCAAAGTGTTAATTGAAAGAATTTCTATTACTTATTATTAAGTTAGTACATGACACAATGATTTTTGCTTGGAACAATATCTGATGCAAATCATTAAATGTTCATGATAAGGATTGCAAAATTTTTCATTTCCTGTTGTAATTCCTTTTCGTTCTTCTTTTGAGTCATTCTCCATACAAAATCAGGCAGTTCCTGTGTTTTTTAATGATTCACTTAATTTTCTTGTACATTAAAGGCTCATTATCATCTTCATTATTGCTGCATTCACAAACGGCTGGTGTTATAGGATCATTCAGTTCCTTGTGATTTCGCTATCATTATTCTTGATTAATTCTTTAATTTCTCCTTCTTCCATATGTGAAAATCTTTTGCCGTGTATTATTTTGCAACATGTACAATTTCCTTGGCTTTATTTTCAATCGATGGAAATCTTTAAAATTGTTGACAACTTTTGGCTAGCACTGATGTCAGCAAGCATTTCATTGTTTATGAATTCATTTGTTTACATGTGAGTTTAATCATTTTTATGAAGTGCTGTATGTTGAAAGCATTAGTATGTTGCACTTTCTTTCTTCTAGTGCTTTATTTGTAGAGCTGTAAACATGCCTGACATAACAGGCTTTGAGTGTTTTTAGGATTCCTTGATTCATTGATTGGATTAAGGAAATGATGTTCGGTGGAAGGCATAAAACCTCTACATTTAGATGCAATAATTGTGAGGGCTTCAGTACTGTGTCCTAGAGTGCTATCAAGAATTAAGATAACTTTGGAGCTCAAGTTTTGCTGTTCTAAGTGATTTTTGACTTCTTCAATGAATTAATTTTCAAATAATTAATCATTAAAGAGGCCCATTGCAACACAACCGATGCTTTGAAGTATATTGCTTATGAGTGAAATTCTTCTTAAATGAAGATGATTAAGAAAGTGCTTATCAACAAAATCGCGTTTCGAAAGTCCACGTTCAACAAAGGTTTACTGTAAGATTCTGTTTATATTTTCACACATGCACACACACACATATATATATATATATAATTGCGCAAGTAATAATAACTTGTATTCGCACTAAATGGATTTAAGTTCATACTATATATATATATTTATTTACATTTGTGTTTTTCTTTTAGCAGAAATAAAACTAAATCATGATCAACCACTTGCGCTACGACTAAACGTCACGGTTGCGGTGCCGTGCGCTACAATATAACAAGTGGTAAAGTGTCTCATTTATGCCACTCCATGTCTGCGAGTGCAATCCAGAGCTGTTACTCGAGAAATAAACAATCTCGTTGTTAGGTGACGTGTGCACCATGTTATTTTCATTTTTGCGATAAATGCCTATCGACGTGGTGTTCATGTCGCTTGCGGTTTGAGATAAAAGCATCCCAACGTGTGTGGCACGTCTTTTTAGTGTAAGTGGTTAATAAATATGGTCACAAGTTTTTAATATAAATTTTAGATATCAGGCATCTGAAATTTCATTGAGAGCACAGTGCCATCACCTTATTTTATGCATAAGATAATGTGTAATGTGTGTGTTGTACACCTGTCTAATTTCTGAAAAAGTTCTGACTTCAGTTTTCAAACTTATTTTTGTGTTTTAATATTAACAAATGTGAATTTTATTATTAATAAATACTAAGTGATAAAAATACACTTTTAATGCAGAAAAAGTTTTAGTTCATGTTTTTAAATCTCCAAGTAAGAACTAAATAATTTTAATTTTCCCGACTAGACTCTGAGATTAGTTAGTAACATAACTGATGACTAAATATAAACAGGATAAATATGCTAAGTTCTTAAAGTTTCAAGCTTTCATTGACTCTAACTTTATTTAAATGCAATTAAATATATAAATTCTGAATTTTGCTGTGGTATGATGTTTCAAATAACTTGGTAGGATAGTTTCCTGTAGACGTAGAATATTTAGCTACCTTATAGTAATCAGTCCACTCCTCCTTCTGTTCTAAAACTTTCATTACAGCATGGAGCAGTATTCAAGATAAAATAATATTGTACTTAATTTTTTTTTTCTCTGATTTATGCCCTCTGTGCAATATGCTGTTGTAAAACACTTACGGCTGAAAATAATCAAGAGTAACTCTTTTCTCATAATTTGTATTTGTTCTTATACAAACACACCCCACATATGTGCTAATGGAATATAATTATGCCATTTGGAATAAACTTATGCTCTGCATCTAAATTCAGAAAATTCAGTTTGGATTCACTGTACAGTTATTATTTTATGCTATAAAAATATAAGCAGATGAAAAATAATTAATAAATATTGTGCATCTTGGGAGGCAATAGACATGTGAATAGTTCTCATATAACTAAGCAATGAATGATGTTACACAATTATGCACTTCTGTGTATCTTCAGTTTTTTTATACATAAAATGCATAAATATTGAATGTTCAATTCCACAAGTGTTCTGCATGTACATAAATGCTGTATTATATTACTGGTCAAAAATGGCATGCATGTTTCATTTTTTTTAAAGTCTGAAATCTCTCTGAAAGAACCATAGATGATGCATTTAATAATTTTTTTCACTTTAATGACTGGCTGCTTTTTAAATATATCAAAAATTAAGAACTGTTCAATATCTTGGCACTGAATTTAGATATAAACTTTTCTAGATTCTCATGATCTTTTATGATGATGTTTAATACATTAGTCATTGATATTAGTACAACCTAATGTTCTGCTAATTTAGATTAGTTTTCACTCTGAATGCACCACAAAGTTCTATTAGAATTCTTGCATCAGTTGCTAGTTTTTACATTTTGCACTTGACATACTTTCAGTATTCCAGTGCTTATGACATCAGTGTGTCTGATTTTCATTTTCTGATAATAGCAACGATTTTACGACTCTTTTAAAGGGACTAGTAGCAGCTGCTTGCAACATCTTTGAAGGTAGTAATAGTGTATAAATTTATTATTCGCTTTTTATTTATAAGGAGCAGAGATTTAATAAAATTGAAGATATTGTGATCATTCAGAATGATAGCAATTTAACTCTGTTCTTGCACTTTAAAACAGAATATTAAATTTATTGTAATATTAAATTGCCTAATTTTTTCCCAAATTTCTCAAAACTTCTATTTAAATTATTGCATCTCATTGCTGCGTTCTCTAAAAAGTGACTTGAAAGTTTCTTCTATTTCAACTTTTAAATGGTATCAGTTTAACGGTTTCATTTTCCACAACTAAAATTGCTTTTTATGATTTTGAAAGGCTGCATTTTTCTTAATTAATTATTTGGACTATGATTCATTATCCGGTTTCACTAATGAAATATGTTTGCATGTGTTTTCACTGCATTTTGATTTCAAATCGCTAAGGGTAATAAAAATATTTCTGTCTGAGGCTGATATACATCATCAAAAGTATTTGAAATTAACTCCAGAATTCCAGTAATCTATATCCCTGAAATTATTCTGTCAGTTAAATAATTGCATTGATATTTTTTAAATGTGTAAGCTGTTTATGTGTCTTTAATTGTTCATTTTAAAATTTTGAAATCATATTTGAGCTTTTTGAAAATTAAAACTTGAATAATTCATACAATCTTACAAATTGACAAATAGGATAATGGTATTGCGCTTAGATGCTGTAACTGAAAAACTATTCTGAGTTTTTAAAAACGTTTTATCGTATTCTGTGCCAAGAATCTAGTAAGAAAAAAATTAGTGCTAGATCTTTCTGCTAGAAAAAATTGCCATATTATGTAAATTAATATAAATATTAGCTGTCAGTATCATATCTAGTCAGCTCAAACACTTCTGAAGTAGAAAATTATTCGTTTGAATTGTCAGTAAATGAGATATTAAATAGGAAATCAACATTCTGATCAGTATACCAAACATTGTCTTTCTTAAATTGAATTGACTTTCTAAATAGTCAGTCTTCAGGTTACTTCTGAAAAATATTTAAAATGTTTGGGAGTATGAATTAATATAATATGTTAAATTGTTACAGCATTTCACATGTTGACTATAGAATATCTGTAGTTCATCTATAGAGTAAGTGTTGATCCCTTTAATGGGTGTTTCTTTTTTATTTTTTTTTAAACTCTTTCTGTACGAAGTCTAAAAATCAGTATAAAATTACTATTATTGCCATTTAAATGTAAAATTAAAAAAAAATATTGCTTGATTTCAGTTATATGCTAAAAGTAATCTTTTCCGTACTGCTTTTAGAAATGCAGCTAACTGGCAACTTTTTATGGTAAATAAATTAATGTAATCAATCCCATTAGACTTATGTATCTAGGAAAATCTAGATGTCTCTTATATAAAAGTATCGGAATGAAATATTGTCCATTATTAAAAATTTTAATGGCACCCATCTGATAACTTAATAACACCATGTTGTAATTTTTCTTTTGCACTTAAATATATCATAATTGATGAGAGAAGGTACAAAGAATTGAAGTTAAAGTAATTTTTGTACTCTTAAATGCTCTTTTTTCATGTCAATGCAATTCCCGTTTTTAAACATTTTCTTGTAAAATAGAGTGAATCAGATTAACCTTTATTTGAAAATTAGATAGACCTGAGTTTATCTGTTACTTGAAAATATTTTATGTTAGTGAAAAAAGGAAGGGGGCATTAATTACTGTAGAAACCGATGTGATAGAAATGGCAGTTATTAAAAGCTATGATTAATAATGAGTTAAATTGGTCTGATAATTAAATTAGTATTAAATTATTATTATGAAATGCAAAATAAATTTAGCATTTTATTTTCATTCTTTTACGAAATT